ATATATTTTATAGCTCTTTTTTGTTAATCTACTGTCTTTTTCTGTTTTTCTATCAGGTGTTCGGTCCTTTGCCCTTAAATTTTTGAGTTAGCCTCATGATTTTGTAAAGCTAATGAACACTGAATATATACACTGGCACTTTAACGTTTCCCATCATGACTTCAACCAAGTAGGTACCATCGTGTGTGTGTGTGTGTGTGTGTATATATATATAAAAATATAAGTTAGGTCCTATTTTCATTTGAACCCCCAAGCACATGTAAACTCTAAGGAATACAAGTAGATATGTCGGTTTGTCTATTTGTATAGTCAATTCTTTTTTTTTTTTTAATATATTTTATTGATTTTTTACAGAGAGGAAGGGAGAGAGATAGTTAGAAACATCAATGAGAAACATCGATCAGCCGCCTCCTGCACATCTCCCACTGGGGATGCGCCCGCAACCCAGGTACATGCCCTTGACCGGAATCGAACCCGGGACCCTTCAGTCCGCAAGCCGCCGCTCTATCCACTGAGCCAAGCCGGTTTCGGCTGTATAGTCAATTCTTATTATGAAACAGGGTTATCTTCTTTCATTATTAAAGTTTTCTTCTTATATTTTTTAGCTCATATAGTCAAACCCTATTCTGCCAACTTTATTACTTAGCTCAGATGGAGCTTCACTTATGAGAAAAGTCAGTATTTAATGTTCCAAAGCCAGATATAAATTATTTTTTGAGTAATTAGACATATTTTGGTATCATTTACACTCCTACCCTACTGACTATTAGGAGATAGAGACAATTTTCCAGTTAATAGGGTATATTAAAATTAAAACACACATACACACACACAAAAACTGTATGAAGATTCACTTTAGTTCCCATACACAAACTGTGGCAAAAGTAGCTTTACAGTTGTATAGAAAATAATACAGGAATAACCTGTTTCCCATGCTCACAACTGTAAACCTACTTTTGCTCCACCTTGTGTTGTTGAATCATATGCCCAATTTATGCTACTCTTCCAAAAATTGCTCTCCATTCAGTTGTCTTAAATTCAGAAGAGAAATAGTAACACTACCTTTATGAAGATTGCAATTTTGGAATGTTACATGTTGAGACTTTAAACGTTGTATTTATCTTTTTAGTGACTGATTTTCTAGCTCTTAAAACAGGTCCATAGGATGCTATAAAAACTAATCAAAGATTAAAGATTCAATTACAGGTGCCACTATTACATTACTTATGATAGGGATGATAAAATGAGCAAAGAGTAGAAAGCAGACAGTAACATTACTTTATCAATTGACTAAGTAGGTGAGATACAGAGAAAGTGGTAATGAACTAGAGAAGTCCACTCACTACTCACCTCTGCAGCCCAGGCCTGAGGCAGGTTAAGGTTGCTGTGGTAGGAGCTGTATTTGAGGGCTGTATCTTTTCTTAGGGTTTTAAAGTACATGTGCTGCTTTTATTTACTTAACCATTAGTTGCTCTCTTATACTTGATTTATAAAAGAATTAGTCTAGACAGCATGAAAAAGAAACACATTAAACTTCTGAGAACCTCACAGCAATTTTAAAAATAATATCCAAAGAATGATCCTCTTCTTGGTATGGAGTGGAACAATTCCTAGTTGCCTTAACTTTTTCCCTCATCACTAGAGAGACAGAACGGTACAATCAATGATTCTGGGTATGACCACTTTTAGGGAAAAATAGTTTGCAATAAAAATACTCAAGAAACTCCATGTCCTCTTCCCTTAGCCCTGCCCTCCAGGAGCTGGTTAAAACAAAACTAAGATAGGTGACATCCCCCAAGAGTAATACTATAGTTTTAACAGGGCATTGCTGAACATTCAGGGAAGACCTAGAAAAAAAGATGAAATCATGAGTGAACTGAAGGTTAAGTTTCATATTTAGAACTTGTTTATAAGTATTTCTTGTAGTTTAAATGTGCTTTTGTGCTGGTTGAGAAGAAAATATTGCTTACATCATCAATAACCAAAAGAATTTCAATATTGTGAAGAGTTTTTTTTACATTTTAGCACATTTTTTAAAAAGGGCATTAAACATTCTGACCCTTTAAAAAATATGCTTAGATACATGTAAAAGCTGTGGATGGACTAAAAAAATAGATTTTTAAAAACTGATGTGGTCATAATAAAAAAAGAACACTTTTATACATAGGATTTTATTTTGCACTGCTATAACAATTTCATTATAGACTAGGGAAGAAAAGAAAAAAAAGGATAAAACCATCACACTGAGTAAGTTACTAAAGCTTTTCTACTTTTTAACAGGGATCTTCCATCTGGTAGATTTATTGTCATATCCCCTTCAAAACAGACAAGAATTACCATATTTAAAAGATTATAGGTTACACCTAAAAGAAAAATTTTACACAGTCACTGTACATCAAGGTTGAAAAACTATCCTGCATGGACAATATACTTAGAAATCATGTGAATAAAAGAAAAGTTATTGTGGTTAAGGAAAAATTGAAGTCCTCATAATGTGCCACCTAAATGTGGACATTCATTCTTCTTGGAGTCGCTTAGGTGTATGAAGTTCTTGCTTCTGCCCATTTCACTCATTATACTGTGTTTTTACCCAACAGCATTCATTAAGGCAAACAAATCCTTTTCTGAGGAGGTCTTAAAGAAATTGTGGACAAACAGCAAACTTTTGGCATTAAAACAGGTTAACACATACATAGCCTTTATAATTTACTTTCTGCATGTTATATATACAGAAAGTAACTGATAAATATAGAATTAAAAGAATCCTTCTGTTTTTCCTTATAGCCTTGAAAGTTGACAAACTTTTTGAGGGCAGTTCTATTAATATTAAGCATTAGGTAACCACAGGTGTTGGGAAACCTAACTACACAAACTGATTTAAAATACTCAAGATGACTTTGTAGTGTTTAATACAATTCAGTTCGTAGGGCACAAGACAACATTTAACAAAAATAATCACATCAATTGACCTAGAAATCAAATGCAAATAGATATGAATACAATCTCCAAAATCTGTCTTTTTAAGTGAACATTAACCATTTATTCAAAGTTATACAAGAATTTGAAAGAGTAAAGTCTTCTGTGACATAAAGCCATTTCAAATAGTTTCATGTCGCAGCTGAGTAGGAGAGGGTGAAAGGAGCAGTGAGTAGCCCCATTTGGGCAGCGCGACGGTAAAAACAGACTCAACAGCAGCCTCCTCCGGCCTGCTGTCCTCCCTGATTGCCTGCAAGCGTGGCGTTGGTAGCAGCATGCTGAGGGCCAATTTTAATGCCATTTGCCTGAAATAAAAGACAACGA